CGCGCACTCACACAAGCCTACTCGGAGGTTCTTCCCTCTGCAGAACCACTTCGGTCATACGCAGAGACAGGCTGTGGGCTATAAAAACCAATCAGAGGTCAAGTACCCCTGTGCTTACCCTGCCCCTGCCGCATTGAGTCAACAGGGACTCATGGTGAGCCAGCTGTGGGAGACAGAGCACTACAGGGTGGCCAACAGCCGAGATGTCAGACAGAGCTTTTCTTCAGAAGTGTCCATTTTATCAATAAATGTGATGCCATTCCACTTGATGGTGTCATTCCGTGCACAGAAAACCATGATTTCTGATTAAAATTGGCCAACAGCAGTCAATTTCAGCTCATTAGTGCCTAGACTATCGATCTTCAAGTGTTCCCTTTCATTCCCACCCACCTCTGTTCCAAATTTAGCCCTTCTTTATTTAAAAAAAAAAGTGTTAATCATTTTATGGGGGGACTCTTACAAATATTATAACAATGTATTATCCAGTAGTATTAAGCACACCTGTACATATGTTGCCGTCAACATTTCCAAAACAACGTCTTTCTACTTGAACCCTTGGTGTCAGCTTCCATTTCATTTGTAAAGACTTCCAGTTTTCCTAGGTTCCTACTTGGTCCATTCCGAGTTCCCATTACTAACTGATGTTTGCAGCTGTTTCTCCTCATTCTGAGTTGTGCCCTATCAGCAAATGAGCATCCCGAAGGCTTTCCTCCATTTGCATCATCAGTCGGCTCTACTTTGAGAAGCAGCCCGTCCTCAGTCCTATTCTGGGTGCCTTCCGACCTGCGGGGCTCATCTTCCGGCACGATCTCTGACAGTGCTCTGCTGCACCAGCTGAGCTCCCTTGGGCTTTTCACTGACCCTAGGAGATACTTCACAGGCCCATCATCTAAGGAACCGCCAGCCACTTCAGAAAGACGTGAGGTTGGGGCAGCGCTGGCACCAGAGCATCCTAAGCATGTCCCGAAAGGTGGTGAGGCACAGCCGGTTAAGGGGGCAGGTTTTCTTCTCTCCTGAGGGGATTCCCTGCTGGGGTCCTGGCCGATGAAGGTAAAGGTCTATGGGGCCAAAGGGAGGTCTTGGCAGTTTAGCCACCTGGTTGCCACACAGTGCCCATGGCACGGTGGGCGTGTTGCTGTGTGCTGTCAGCCTCTTTGGTAAAGCGGGGCGTGGCCCCGAGGCTTCCCAAGGCTCTGAGCTTTACAGATGTAGACGGCCAGCCCTTTCTCCCCAGGAGCTGCCGAATGCGGTTAAACGGCCGAGTGCCTAACCATCTGCAACACCAGGCCTCATTACATTATATCATGTATGGCAACTATTGTAGTTAAGCCTTTGCATACATTAAACCTTACAATGTGTCCTCAAAGCTCCCACAGCTCAAATGAAAGTCTAGTGGGCCTATTATTAAGGCCTTTACTCAAAAAGATTTAACCAGTTCCAGTGAGCAACACAGACTGTAGTCCTGGAAATGCTTCCAATTGTAAAAGGTGGCCTTCTACAAACCCACAGGTTCCTTGTCCAAGGTCCTGGGGTAGGGGCTGGGGCAAGCGAAGTTCGTTCCAGATTGGGGGGATCGGCCAGGCTGCAACCCCCTCACGCAGCAAGGAGAGGAAGGCGCAGGGTGCCCGTCAGAGCACAGCTCTCGCCTGACTACTGTGGAGTTGAATCAGCTGGTTTGGTTTCCATTTTCTAGAACCTGCCAAGAAATGAAGCTGGGAGGCCATGCTCAACACCCAGGTCACAGACAGAAGAGGCCACGGCAGGTAGACAAGCGGGACCACTTGGAAATGTGTGAATGTAAAAAATGGGACAGGTGATTGGGGAGTCTTGCGGGGAAAGGAAGGTAGGATGAAAAAGACCTGCCTAAAGATGACGGCAGATTCTATCACTCACACAAATGCAGGCAGGTGCCTTCTCTCCAGGCTACACCAACTCATCCCATCACCTGTGCTCCCTGGACCTCCTGTCATGTCCTAAAGGATCTTGTAGGTGTTGCGGCTGTGTGGATTGGTCTACTCCCGTGAATACTTTAAACAGCCCCAGGGAGAACCAACATCTGACACTACAGCGTCAGAGCTAAGGATATTCCAAAACACCAAACCAATGTACAGATAAGAGTTCTCTACGCAGGGAATCCAGGTCAGATAACCCCTCGGGGGCAGAAATGGAAGTAGTGATAACAGGAGGGGAGGAAGGGGAAACCAATCATAATGATCTATGTAGAACCCCCCACCCCAGGGGGACGAACAACAGAAGCATGGGTGAAGGGAGACAGCGGCTGGTGTAAGATAGGAAAATAACAATTTTTAATTTACCAAGGAGTCACAAGGATGGGAGGAGAGGGAGTGAGGGGGTAAAAGAGGGGCTGATACCAAGGGCTCAAATAGAAAGTAAAATTTTAGAACAAGATCATGGCAATTGATGTATGGATTTTTATAAGAGCTGTAAGAGCCCCCAATAAAATTATCTTCAAAAATAAATAAATAAATGAAATTCAAATAATGATTTCTCTCCCACGCCCTTAAAAAGAAAACTTCAAACCAGGTAGAGGTGCAGTAGGGGATTTAGGACATGTTATCCACTCGCTGCAGGGCTTACAATCGGAGAAGGTGTGGCGCGGGCCTGTACCCTTTCACCACACTTAGTCCATCTGTATGCAGATCAAGTCACCCCAAAAGGCTGGTCTGTTTGAAAGAGAACCTGGGATGGGGATGGCAGGGAGGTTCATTAACCACCAGTGATTTGCAGCTGAGACAATTCTGCTTGCTGAGCGCCAAGAGGACTTGGAAGCATTTACTGATGAAGCTGATAGATTACCGCCTTCAGTAAGGATTACAACTCAACATAAGAAAACAAAAACCTCACAACTAGGGGGAAAATGATCAGGATAAACAGAGAAAAGACCCACAATTAATACTCAAGAAAGCAATCTCCTGCAGAATAAGACCTCTTAGTGTCAAACAGCAAAGATGCCCCTTAGAGGCCTGAGGTGGCCCTGACCCACGTCACGGGTGCTTCCACCTCCTGAGCATGAGAGAGCCGGCAAATGGCTCAGGAAGGCTGGAGAAGTAATGCATTGAACGACGGGAATGGCGAAGAACATTCTCTCGTGGACTGCGAGGATGATGTGCAAATGCTGTGCTGGGAGACGCCCAGCGAGGGTGGCCAGACGGCATCTCTCGTACTTCGATGTGCCCTCAGGAGTGATGGAGACGGGACGCTTGGCGGAACAGAGAGGGTCGGTAAGAAAGAGGACCTTCGATGAGCAGGATTGTCAGTCGGGCGCAGAGCCGGGAAGTGTTCCGTGCTATGGTACATTGGGTGGCTGTGAGTCTCGCCGGGTACCCGGCCTTCCTTCTGCAGTGACAGTGGACGCTACGTGGAAGGGGCTGATTGCAGAAGGACCCCCGGGAAATAGGGAAGCACTTCGGAGCCCAAGAGGGTGAACGGTGCTCAGGAGAAGGGGAGGGGAGAGGGTTTGGGTTTCGGGGTCACTTAATTCAGAGCACAGAGGGGGAACTTCTGAGGAAGTACAAGAGGGCATGATGGGACGTCGTGAGAAACATAACCGACACCAGAGACGTATCAACACCAAGCTGTGCTGGTGACTGTTGGGGTGCGCGCATATTCTCCACAAAAGTAAAATCCCCACAACGGAAGGGTGGTGCTGGATTTTCCAGAGGGCAAACTCGAGCAGAGCGTGGCCGTGCGCTCAGGACAGGCAGGAGCAAAGGCTGCATTGTGGGGGCCTGGCTCTCCCCGTGGCCATTTCCCCTTGGGGGGTGGGGGTAGGGATCATAGGATGGCCGCACTCACACCATCGTGCCGTTTGCTCTCAAAGACCCTTCTATGAAGAGTGCCCCTCCTGGGAAATGTCCTACGAGGCCCGAGACGGTCAGTCACCTGCCTCAGGTGACTTCACAGCTCCCCAAAAGGAACCACGGTGTTCAGCATCTTAGCAGCAGGGGGCACGTCCACACGCCACAGCTAAGACTCGGTCAAGGTCCCACAGCCTTTCCCAGTTGGCCTTTCTTCACTCCCATGTGAAAAGCCACAGAGTTAAACACCTGTCAGGTCGGATTAGCCAAAGCTGTCTTTTCCAGGTAAGCAGAAAGAGAGAGGGAAGACCTAGTGGAATTCCAGTACTCGAACACTGGGCCACAGGGAGAGGCGATGGGTTTCCATTCTACACTGCCTGAGCATGGACGTCGTTCTGTTGGTCTGTGTCCACCTGAGGAACACTGAGGGTGAGTGAGACATGAAGGTCCAGGGAAGGCGCCCCTCAAAGGTCAGAGGAAGAACTGGCACGCCTCCCCTGTGCAGCCGTCCCAGGAGAGAGCCGGGCTCGGGACTCACCACGATGTCTTCGGGAAACGTGTCCCGGCTGTGAGAGCCGTCATCGAACAGGACCTCGTAGAAGGTCTGGGAGGTCAGGGAGATCACCCTGCAGCTGTAGTAGCGGGTGTTGCGGTGCTTCGCAATGACCGTCTGGCCCACCTCCACGGCCTTCTCGCTGACCTTAGGCTTCTACACCCAAGGGGGGAGAAGAGGAGGGGAGGAGACAGAACAGACAGTACAAGGAACATTAGCAAAGAGTCAGTCATTTGGCTTAGATTGTAACTGGCGACCGACAGAAACCTTGTACATATGTTCATACACCCCCACCCCCAAGCCCCAACCATTTCATGATCTGTTACGCACACCACAGGTCTTTACTCCTAAATACCTCCATGTGCATTTGGGACATACTCTTTTACATAAAGCACCACAAGAGTACTCGGAAATGGAGGTGGCGGGCCAAGAGTAGAAAAAAGGTGGGGGGGGGGACTCAATGAAGTCAAGGCTAGTTCCAGGCCACAGCGGGTTCTTCTCACTAAGACACAAGATTCATGCACTTGGCTGCTTGCAAAGATGGGTGTAATATACAACCTTCTCAACACGATCTTCTAAGGTAAACCTAAATTAAAATCCTTGTGAGCGTTGAGCATGGCCATTTCATGGGTGTACTGAGGAGAGGGGACTCTTCCCTGCGCTAGTTTGATAGGCTTTCAGATTTATCTTTGCATGCGGAAAAAAATATATTGACAAGCAGACCCCTTAACTGATTACACATCCTCAAAACCATTTCCTGTCAGGAAAGCCTAAGAATCTATTGGTGCTCGGAATGTCATTTCTGATCCAAAGACAAGACGTTCTGCCAGGCTCCGCCAGATTACAGAAACAGCTGTGCTGTTGTGAAGATTCGTGCGCAGGCTCAAGTTGTGAACAATGAATTTCCTCTAACTTGCACTAGGGAGAAATGAACAAATGGTGGTTGCGAAATATTTTTCTTTAAAAAAAAAAAAACTAGAACCAGTTTGGGGTGTGAAGAAAATTTCACAGAACCTTCAAAAATAGTTTCACAAGAGGTCCCAGGAAATAACCGCTATCGAGTTTATAACACACACCAGGATGCATGAGTTCTTAGATTCTCCCAATGACCCAGTGAGGTGGCCGTGATTTTCAGTAAGGACATGAAGTGATGGAGATAGAGTGACTCTTCCAAGATTTCGGAGCTGGTGTGAGGCTGCAGTGGGGCTCAGAAAGAGGTTCGTGGGGGGCAGTGTTCTCCCATCACACGGAGGGCCTCGGGGTCATTAGCTAGTGAGTCAATATGGAAAGAAATCGGGAGACACAACTGACAGAATTCAAGCAGTTGCCTACAGAAATCACATTTCTTTCTTTTTTACCAACCTTTATAGAGTGACTCTTTTGTTCTAAAAAAACTCACTCATTTCTCCCAATATACCCACGGGGTTGAACTGGCTTGGATTGACAGCATATTTGGCTGCACAAAATGTAAGTTGCAAATGTCATATCCATTGCTGTTCAAGCCGTTTTCAGAGGCCGATTCCTCCTCCTTCGTAGTCTGCTCTTCATCTGTACGCTCTCCTGAACCCTGTTCACCTTGGGTGTCCCTCTTGGTCTTTGAAATACCAGTGACATATCTTCCAGCATCGTGGCAACACACAAGCAGTTCAAATTCACCAGGAGGGGCTTTGGAAGAAAGGCCTGCCTGTCTACTTCTGAAAAACATCCACTGGAGATACAATATAGCGGCTCGACCCTGATATGCATGGGGTGGTCACCACTGAGTCTGGAGGTAGCTGGAAGGCAGCTGGCCTGGTTTCCTGGTTTAATGGGAGCTGCGATTGTATTATTTATATCACGGTGGCTGTTCGTACTTATCAGTATAAGCGAACAGTAATGAAATGAAACTCCACGGAGGCACTTCTACAAAGGGTCAGGTTCTGGACTGGTCGCCTGACACAGAGAGATAAATAGTGGAGACTGACCGTACATCACCTTCTCAAATCTCAGTTCTCCCGACTGGGTATCTGACAAGAGGCCAGAGGTCAGCTACTACATACATAACATCCACAGCAAGATCTCAGAGGGCAGGGACTTGTGTGGAGGAAGGACGAGGTCTGTGCTCGGCAACACAGGCTTTCTTTGCCTCACTCCTGAGAAGGTGTGGCTAAGGGCGTCACCCAGCATCTGGGCAGAGATGTCATGGGGAAGCCCTTGACTTGGTTCAGGTCCACGTGCAAGTCTATGAATGCCTCATTTCACTGTGCTTTGCTTCATTGCTTTGCAGATACTACGGACTTTACTTAAGTCTCTGGGAGAGCCTGCATCCAGCAAGTTTATTGGCGGCACCATCTTCCAAGGGCGGCTGGTGGTTTTCAACTACCGACTCTGCAGCCCAACACGTAACCCCCAGGCAACCCCAGACGTGAGGAAATAAGAAAATCCAGGGCACCTGCTTCGTTGCACTGTTTGCTTTAGGGCGTTGGTCTGGAAGCGAACCTGCAGGATCTCGGCGGTCTGCCTGTCGTTGACGTCGATAAAAGCTGTGGACCCCAGTCTTGTGAAGTGCATGAGGCTCTCAGAACCAACACGGCTGATGCCCTGCCCCATGAACAGACCCGACAGCACATTCTACCAGTACCCAAGGGCCCTTCCGCCTCCTGACTTTCAGCTGCTCCGTAATATCTATGAATAATAAACCATGGTTATTTTTGTCGTTTCTTAATGCCTTCCGTCTTCTCAAACTTCCCAGAGGGATTTGAGTCCAGGTTGGATGCAAATTAGTTTGCGCCCAAACTGACACAGAAGTCACCCTCTCACTTGTGTTGGCCTTGTGAGAAAGAAGGCTTTCTTGTCGAAACAGCACGGCCCAGGTAAAAATCCTCTCTCCAGAAAACCAGAATTCCCTGCGGCTTCGTGAGGGGCATGTGCTCTTGCGACACAGTCACACATGCAGGCTGATAAGTGTCACAAGCACTTCAGTTTCTGTGTGTCTGTTTGTTCGTGTGGGCTTGTCCTTCTTGTGGGTTTTTAATGCAGACATATCATACAGTGGGAAATGGCTATAAGTCATTTCCTAGCAGATTCGAGTTCTCTTCGCTTTAACGTCTGTGGAAAAATGATGAATCAGTTGCAGGAGACATGGCGATGGCAGGGAGGGGGTAGATCATCCTGTTGCATCTGGATCATGAATTCACCTCGCAGGTAATGAGCTTGCTGTACAGAGGGGTGGGAAGGCAAGGCAGGGAGATTTCGGGTCCACTGTGTGATGTAGGAAGGGCTGACTCTATAGGTCTGAGCCGTCTGCTTTCTATTCAGAATGGTTAAATGGCTTGGATGATCAATGAAGGTTAGGTGGCCCGCTGGAGCAGAGGGGGTGTGGGTCAGTGAGCCTGCCGACCCAAGGCTGAGATGGCATCCATCTCACAGGTTGTAGAGGATGCCGAATCCCTACATGTCTGGCGCCTGAAGGTGCTGCTCTGGGTGTTTTCTATGTCAGGTGTTGATCCACTTTCCTAAGTAGCAAATGGACCCTGGGGAAGAACATTCCCATCATTCACAGCCGGTGGGATGTGTGTGTGTACACATACATTAGCAAGTGGATTCTAAAATGTATATGAAAATACAAAGGACCTTTGGGGGCTGAGAAGGCAGGTGGGGAATAAAATAGGAAAGAAGAAGAACTGTTTAATAAGATAACTTGGTATTCATTTCTTTCATATGACATCTGATGGGCATTTTCAACAGGAAGAAGTTAGGGGCACAAGAGCAATGCCATTAAGGTAGTCTGGCCTGCCAGGATTTTTGGCTTTCAATTATACTTGGCCAGGGGCTAAAAAGAGCGGAAATACATGCACTATCTTAACAAATTAAACCTTGGACCCTGGCCCCTTCGTTCTCCAGAACAATCTTTCTCCTCTTTGTCATAAGACCCATGGTTTTATGTCCTTACAAATTTAAAAGTAGGTACAGGGCCTTGGAATTTGCCTGGGCCAAGGGCCTTCAGCATCAGACTCATGGTGGCCCCACCCTACTTTCCAGGAGGGCAGAGGCAGCAGTGCCCTCCTGCTGGGCAGAAGCAGATCGCACGCACATTCTGGACTGTAGAGAAGTCTGGGAAATGTAGTCCTTACTCCCCCAGCATGTAGCACAGTTATCAATACTACAGTGGGAGTGAGTCTGGAAAGTAGATGCATTGACGGTGATTCTCTGTCACTCTACTGTTCATTATTTGTTCCAATAATTCCTCGATCCTTCTCCACTCCCAATTGAGTCTGTCATATCCATAATTTTATTTATAACTCAAGAAGTGTGTGTGTGTGTGTGTGTGTGTGTGTGTGTGTGTGTTTGTTGGGGGTGGGGGCAGGGGACAACGGACCCTTAAAGGTGGGCCAGTTCCTTTCATAATCTTGCTTCCTGCAGAAATATCATTCTACAGATCATCCTCTGGAATTTACCAGAACATTTTTGGAGTGAATCCAGATATTTCCGTACATCATACTTATGGACATAGGCAGTCAACCTAGGGAGTAGTTTTTGGGATGGAAAGGCTGGGACTTACTTCATTGTTTTTCCTAAGGCTCACAGCTAATTATCTTAAAAAGCTAAACCTTCATTGAATGTTGTCGGTCTCTATGGGTTTCATTTGCGCCATGGCATCTAATTGTCCTTTCCCCATGAAGAAATTGAACACCCCGACTCTTACGTATTATAACGTGCTGAGGTGGCACATACGCTTGGCGGTGTGCTTCTGTTGATATATTCCATTTGTATTTCTCTACTAGACTCACGGGGCTTGGCTCTAAAGCCAATGCTAAACCGCGGGATAGCGTCACTGTTTTCTGAATAACCTTCAGACAACATAGGGCTTTTTTTTTAAGGGCTATAAATTGGTGAAAAGCTGATCAGTTCCTGAGAACTGAGAAGGATGAAGTCTTTTGAAGCCGAGCTGCAAATTCTATCAACTGGTTGGCTCCCAGTCTGGGGAGGGCCCCATGCTTGGGTCTAGTTGAAGAAGAATGTATGAGAAGCAGCTATCTGGAACATAGCTGAGAATCCTGGTGCTTACCCACTAGAGAACTTTAGAAAGACAATTTATGAACATGAGAAATGTTCCCTACAAAAAGAAATGTCATGTTGTGCATGACAGGACATGAGCCTCCACCCCTTCATCATTTGCGAAGTAATGCCAAACTCAAGTGGGTCTGGCAGGGACAGTGGTTCTACCATCACCGCAAAGCCAAATATGTTCTGTTTCACCAACAGTTATGAAAATTCTCAGTGTAACTGAGCAGTGAGTAAGTCAGGCTGGCAAAACAGCTTCAGACTAACCACCAGGCACCCCAGAGCTTTAGAACAGCTGAAGGGCAAGGCCTGCTCCCAGCAAAAGTTTTGCTCAGCCTCCAGCTCAGGGAGGGCTTTGGGGTTTGGAGGCTGACAACTAACATGAGCATGTGCTCCAAGCCTATAGCTGCTGCTGCCCCTAGATGCCATCTCCTCAGCTCCTCCGGGGAGGATCGGAGCCTCGCCGGGCATTGCTTCCTCGGAATGAAAGTGGGATTCCCTGGACTCACGTGGCCTGTGTTTGCCCTGCGGTTGTAGCAGGAGGACCCGTGGAGGGGGTCGCATGATCTGCATTTGTTGAACTTGCTCAGGGCCGAGCATGGACAGAAAGCTGCAGGTTCAAGCGCTCATTCCTGTTTTCCTCAGTTTTTATTTAGCGCCATCACACTTTTTTCATTAGCTCCTTGAGTCTGCCGGTTGCTGCTGGCAGAACCTAAGTGTTGATTCGGATCACGCTGTACCCAAGAGCCCAGGGTAGCTTGCTCCTGACCCATAGGCAGTCACATGGCACCGGCCGATGAGGCGGGGCTGTTGGTGATGGCTTGTCAAGGGCCGAGCCCTCCACACGGTGTGATGTGCTTTACTGGAACCTTCTTGCAGTGACTGAGGTGTGTTTTCCAGCGCATGCCTCATACTGCTCCTAGCCAGAGCCCACCAACTCATGGAAGGAAGGGGAGGAGGGGTGTGTGTGCAACAAGACTTACGGGGAGAGCGCTGGAAATGCGACAGAGAGCTGGGAGCAGTGTTGTGCGCGGCTTGTGGTTCTGGCAGGCCTTAACCGACTGCTTGGCAGGCTGCTCAGGAAGGTTATTACCTACACTGAACAAGCATGAGCGGAAGCAAGGGGCCCCTGGTCAAGTCCTCCGGAAAGAACAAAGAATGGCCAGGCCGCAGAGCTGCGGGTCTTTGAGGGCTGGGGTCTCCCTCTCTGCCGCTCAAACAACAATTCTGGTGACACGGAGAACCACGAAAGGTGTTTAGCCTGTCTCAACGCTAGGTATTTAAAAGAGAGGAAGGATTTCATTCCCCAAGGACAGGTGCTGTGGAGTGAATTGTGTGTGCCCCTCAGGAAACACTCCCCAAATACACGTTGAAGTCCTGGTCCTGGATGCTTGTGGCCTTGTTTTTAAAAATTGAGTCTTAGAAGAGGTTATTGAAAAAAATAAATTTTTTTTAAAAAGAGGTTATTGGTTAAGACAATGACACTGGCGTCGGGTGGGTCCTAAACCAAGGATCTGTATCCTGATACAAAAGGAGGAGAGAGGAGAAAGATGAGTGGGAGTTGGGGCCGAGATGAGGGGCACCGCGCACCCCCAGCCGTCACCAGCAGCAGGGAGGGGGTGTCCCGGCTCAAGGTCTCCTTCAGCGTCAGCAGGGGGAGCCAAGGAGACTAATCCCTGACCTCCTCCGGACTAGCAGACAGTGAGTTTCTGTTCAATACACCACCTACTGAGCTTCCCTTTGTCCCAGCAGCCCTTGGAAGCGAGCCCCATGGGTCACCTGAGCCAACGTAAATGCCCATGGCAGGTGGCTGCAGACACGCTTCTCAAAAATACAGGCCTGCCCTGATTGAACTGGAAACGGCCAACAACAAAAAGATCTGCTCTCTGTCCTTCCTGCTCCCAGCCCTGCCCTTCTGGGGGGCTTTCCTCAGCCCTCCGAGGGCTCTGTGTTGTCCCTGATTGACACCATCTCAGGTACCAAGCCCCCTCAAGGTCCCCAACCCCTCCCTTCTCTTTACTGTGGTCCTGCTTGTTGCTCCCTGGAAAGGAGACTGAAGAGAACCCCACGCCCGCCGTGTAGGCGGCACAGCCAGCACACTGCATCGTCTCTGGAGTGCTTTCCACATCGCCTCCCGCCCAGGAGTGTTAAATGGCCCAGGGCTGGGAGGTGACAGGTGGGGGTGGCATCAGTGAAGGGAGAGAAGCAGGACTCACCACATTGGTGTTGACCTTGTGGCGGAAGCAGGTGATGCTCACCACGCAGGGCCAGTCGTCGGGCTCCATCAGCACGCCGGCGGCGTGGGCACACGTGACGTGGAAGGAGGCTGGGCAGCGGCCATAGGAACACTGGATGCAGGCTCCGGAGACCGTCTTCACACGGTATCTGCAGAAGATGCACTTCTGCAGGGGGACACAAATGTGCAAGTGAGACTCTGCCCACCGGCCAATCCCTCGCACTGCACCCCAAACTCAGTGCCATCGAACCCATGCCGGCCTGCAGCCGCCCGATGGCCTAGAACAGAACAGGCCCTGCGGGTTTCCGGGACTGTTAATCTGTGTGGGAGCAGTCAGCCTCGTCCTTCTCTCCCGTGCAGCAGCTGGTGTGTTTGAATTGCTGACCTTGCAGTCTGTAGCCCAATGCATCACCCACCACACCCCACCAGAGCACGGCTCACAAACCGCCACTAAAAAATAAAACCAGCCAACCGGCCTAGGAAGCACTAGGCCTGGTCCCGAGGGCTTACTGCCTCTCCTCTTGGCAGAAGCATGTCCCCAAGCCTTTCTCTCCAAGTACCTCTGGGCCCGTTCACACCTTCACACCGCCAACCCTTTGCTGCCTGGATCTGCACTGCCCAGGAACCTGTTTGCACTTTTGTGGCCACTGTCGCCCTGCTGGTTTCCATCTCAGGTGACACAGACGGGCCCCACTGGTTGGCACTGTGGGTCAGGCGTTGGCAGCTGGCTGTTTTGTGGGGAACCTGGAAGGTTGCCGGTGTAGAGGCTCTGAGAGCCTCGGTCAGGTTGCTGAGTCGGCACCGAAGTCACATGACAGCAAGGAGGTATCTCTACAGAAGCGACCGGCCAGGTCTCCCGACCAGAGAGGTTTCAGTTCGTCGCTGGTTGCTTAAGCATCCTACCACCAGGACCCTCAACTATTAGAGATTGAAAAACAGATTCCAGCACAAGGCCTGGCCTTTCGAGTGCCAGGAAAGCCCTGCCCTGATCCGAGCATATACTGCCAGGTGCCTGCTTATCATCGCTGCGGGTAGGAAGGCTGCCCCTGGGCCAAAGCTTCTCCAAGCACAGTGCTTAGGGGAGTGCTCTGGGCAGGTCCTGGGAGCCACCCTGAGGACACAGCAGTGCTGGCTTGCTCCTGTGCACCCGGCCTTTCTAGAAGCTTGGCAGACACCCACCCGCATGCTGATGTTAGATGAGATCTTCCCAAATACCCAAATAGCATACAGATGGGCCGAGGTTTCCATTACGAGAAATGTGGAGTGTTAAATGGCCCAGGGTGGAAACCAGGGGGCGGAGGACCTCCAGTGTTTAATAATCCAAATCCGAACTCTTAGTGACTGATGTGGAAATATGCCTCCAAATGGGAGAAAATTGAAAACCCGCCCCAGAGGGCTTAATTCTGTGGAGTCGCTGAAGCCAGCCCCGTGCCTGGGGGCAGAGACATGAACATAACAAGGGCCCTGCCCATGATAGTAGGCACAACCCTAACATTAAATCGCAGACAATTAACCCTACAAGTGACCGGTGCATTGTGATGGTGGGGAGGGGGAGGCGACTAATCAGTTGGCATACACTTGAGGCTTAAGGGGTGAAAATGGGGGGTGGGGGTAATAATCAAACCATTAGGGTCCAGTTTGGGAAGCAGGAGATACAGAATGATTCAGATGCTTAGCTTTTCATGTCTACGGATTTGAAGAAAAGAACAAGAAAAAAAAAGTCTGCAGTCTGATCAAACGCTGGCCAAATTGTTCTTCTTTCATAGCTCCCTGTTCCAATTTCCAGTTACAAAAACAGGTGCTAGAAGCCCATGCCTTGGGGTGGGCGGGCTGTACTGTTTTATCACAGACCTGCAAAGATGCGCTGAACTTCTGCTCAGCCCTCCCCTCTGGCTGGGTATGAGGTCTTGCACATTCCACACCAGCAATCCTGGTGCATCTCAGCGGGCCCTCATGCCCTGTTCCGCCCCTGGCTCCTGGCCCAGCAAGTCACAACCTTTCCTTTCATTCCACGGGGATACCTCTGGGTCGGGGCAGCCAGAGAGATCTTTCAACAGCCTGAGTCCGAAGCTACCACCCTACTTAATGTCCTTCAAGGGGTTCTCCTCCACATGGTAACATTCAGGGAAAACAAAACAACAAACAGTGGGTAGGGGTGGAGAGGAAAGGAACCGTCTGCAGTCAGAGAGCGAGGATTGTAGAAGACGCCTGGCCTGCCTCACCGTATTTCCTACTTGTTCCCTGTGTACTCTGCACCTGGCAGCTGATTTGGGTATCTTCTTGGCAATTCCTGGAATCGACAATAATGCATTCCTGGTACCTTGGTGCCTTGTGTTGTCGATTCCGATCATGGACATGTGCACGCCCCACCCGCCACGCCCGGGGCGAGTCACAATGAATGAATCCTGGGAGTATCTGTAAGCCTGTTTCCATTTGCTCCTCCCTTCTCAGGCTGGCACATCCTGTAGCAACTGGATGCACAGATACGGTCTGGGCTACAGAACCAACTGCGGGCCCGCAGGCCACACACGAGGCTTCTGGGGAATGGTATTGAGGATGAATGCCATGCATGCAGTAAGACCAAAGGCTGGTCAAGAATGAAACGAGGGGCGAGGTACGTGGGGCAACAGTGAGTAGACATGGCTTCAAAGATAAGGAGTCAATGGTTGATTGGAACCAGATAGTAAACTCACCCAACCATACTAAGGTGACCAGACATCCCGCTTTTGGTGAGACAGTCCCAATCTTGGCATTTTAAAAAAGTCCTGATTTTTGGAAAGAATGCAGGACAAGCTGGGGAACAGTCTATTTGGTCCATATAGACCAAATTTTTAATCAAGAACCCCAACCCCCACCCTGGTCAATGGTGTCCTGCTTTAAATCTAATCACCTTAGACTACACACAACACTTCCTATAGCTTTGACAAGAAAAACACAAATCACCCTATGGCAGCAGTTCTCAACCTATGGGTCGCGACCCCTTTGGGGGTCGAACGACCCTTTCACAGGGGTCGCCTTCATAACAGTAGCAAAATGACAATAACGAAGTAGCAACGAAAATAATGTTATGGTTGGGGGTCACCACCACATGAGGAACTGTATGACAGGGTCACGGCATGAGGAAGGTTGAGAACCACTGTCCTATGGTAATGTGGGTGAAGGTCTTGAAGAGACATTTCCCCCAAAGAGGACTTTCAAATGGCCACTGACCACGTGAGATGCTCAGCATCCTGGGCTGTCAGAGATGCCAATCAAACCCAGAGGTCACTTCCCTCCCACTGAGACGGTCAACCGGGAGAAAGACCAGACGGTCTGCTGCCACTACCATTTACAGTCTCGGAAACCCTGTGACGCAGTTCTGGTCCTAACTCACGCAGAGGGGCTGCAGGAGCAGCAGCCCAGTGACACGCTTCTGCAAAGGTGTAGAAATCGAGCCCAGCAGGACTCCACATTACCTGCGAGTGGGGGGGTGATGTACCTGCTTTTGGTTTGGGGGCTGAGTCATGGAATTTGCGTCCCTAACAAGACTGAAGTGGCACAGGTACTACTTATTCAGGGGCCCACACCTGGAGGAGCAGGGGATTAGTGGGCTAGGGAGCTAAAGGGCACCAACCCTTCTGAGACCCTCTGGGCCCAAGATGTCCAGGGAGCACAGCTTTCTTTCCCCGCCCCGCTCCTACTCTCCTGTGACAAGGCTGAGAGGGTTCCCTGTGAGCGTGATTTACAGAGCGGTACTTTGCTGGGGACCTGGAGTGCCATCGATAGTCCAGTGGCGTGGGCCCATGGAGGCTCCTAATGAACCAGGGGCCACAGAGGTTGTAGGGAGCATTGAGCTCCTGGGACGCACAGTGGCTCAGCAGAGGGCAGCAGGGGCAATGAGGAGCTGGAGGCCCCAGGAGCACCCCCAGAAGCTCTCTCCCTTGCAATACGTGACTTGGTTATTTGGTTGATTTCTGGGACTCTTTCCCCGCCCTACGTAGGCAGGTAAGGCCAGAGGCGGCTCGGGTGTTTTTTAGTTTGCCTCATGGTTCCACTCTCCCAGGAAACAGGCTAATGACAGTGACAGAGCAGCAACCCCCACATTTCCTCTCCACCCCAGCTCCTGCGCCACCTCGGAGGGGACATCGCACAGGCTGCCCCTCTTGTGAGAGGAAGCCTGAAACTGGAGCTGCAATGCCTCTCTCTCCCCCTCCAGCTCCTCAGAGCCGGGCTTCCAGGGAGAAGACCTCGTTTTTTAAACCCAACGTGGTGAGGTTTGTGTTTGTCTCATCAGCATTCATTAAACCAGGAACGTCTTGCCTGCGGGCAGTGGAGGAGACTGCCTTTCTTTCTGAAGTTTAGGATCTACAACCTATGCCCTGTGTGTGTATGTGAAGAGGGGTGGGGGGTGGGGACTGGGGATGGAACCAGACTGCCGTGAAGACAACATGCAGGAGTGTGAACTCGGGAGGACAAGCTACCTCGGTGGTGTAATAAATACCCAAATGGCCTTTGACAGAAAAAAAGGCTCCCACCCTGCTCTCAAAGGTTAGTGGAGAAGGAACTTCATGGTAAGAGCGGGCAGTAGAAGGACGGACACCAAGAACATAAGACCAGGGAGCAGATATGGTTCTGCTTTGTCTACTCACATCGCAGATAGTTTGCCTGGGTAGGAAAGGAGGAGAGCTCAGGACGGCCACCTGTGCCCTGCTCTGAGCTGAGGATGGAGGAGCATAGGTTCCCGGCCACCGCATCCTGCTGGCTCCTGAGAGCAAGTACTAGCCCAGCAGTGGACCAGCTCCCCAACGTGAGAGGATGGGGATTTGCACGCACACTGTGGGAGCCTCCTGTGGCAGGGGCATGTGGCCTGGCACAGGGCCGTGAGAAGTCCCCAGTGTGGCTTTGAAAGGATAGAGGAGCCAGCAGAGGCTCAGGAGGAAGCCTTGGGGTCTGCTGTGAGAGTGGAGCAGGCTCCAGCCTCAGCACACAGGATGAGGAATGCGGGACGATATTCTAGACCAGGGTCTGACATTTTTGAGATGGAAGAGCCAACCCTGTCCCTCTCACAGTTTAAGAATTATTCTGGAGCTATAAATATAGCTTTACAAACAAATTAAGATCACCATTATCTGAATACTATCCTTTAAATTTTCCCCACTTCGGAGCCATGTGTGGGTACCAAAAGAG